GAGTCTCTGCAGCTGATGAAGAGGCGCCGTGAAAACCCAGCAGTCGCTTCGTCGGATCTTAATAGAAAGATCTCGAAGCAGGTAAGACGTGACCTTCGGTGCTCCAACACACGCGCTATAAAAGAAGCGATCGAGCGAAATCGGGGGTCAAAAGTTTTCATCCAGCAACTAGGTCGAAGCCATCTGACGAAGCTGACTACATCTGAGGGAAAAGTCGTCGCTTCTGGGCCGGAGATTCTTGCGGAGGTTCAGCGCTTCTACGGTGATCTATATGCGTCACAAGCACCCCAACCTCAATCATACTCGGGGGATCCCAGGGCCACACTTGTCCGCCACTTCACTGAAGAGCTGCCAGAGGTCAGCCAAGACGAAATCGGGGTGGCTTTGGGGCAGCTTAAAAATGGAAAAGCCCCCGGTGAGGACGGAATTACGACGGAGCTCCTTAAGGCAGGGGGAAAACCGATTCTCGAGCGGCTCCAAAGTATATTTAATTCCGTCCTCTTCACGGGGAGAACTCCTAGGGTGTGGAGCAGAAGCATTGTCGTTATGTTCTTCAAAAAGGGAGATAAAACCCTTTTGAAGAACTATCGTCCTATTTCTCTTTTGAGCCACATCTATAAGCTGTTTTCCAGGGTCATCACGAATCGTCTCGCACGAAGGCTTGATGAGTTTCAGCCCCCCGAGCAGGCCGGGTTCCGAGGAGGATATGGCACCATGGACCACATTTACACGATGAGGCAGATTATACAGAAGACCGAGGAGTATAATCGGCCTCTATGCTTGGCGTTCGTGGACTATGAGAAGGCCTTTGACTCTATCGAGATCTGGTCTGTTCTGGAGTCCTTACAACGGTGCCAAGTCGACTGGCGATATATCCAAGTGCTGAGAGAACTGTACGAAGCTGCGACTATGGCCGTCCAAGTACAAAATCAGCAGTCTGAACCTATTCACCTGCATCGAGGAGTGAGACAAGGGGATGTTATATCCCCCAAATTGTTCACAAATGCTATGGAGGATATGTTCAAGACACTGCATTGGAAAGGACGGGGCATAAACATAAACGGCAAGTATCTCTCACACTTGAGATTTGCAGATGATATCGTCATCGTGGCTGAAACCGTTCAGGACTTGCAATATATGCTGTGCAGCCTGGCTGATGCTTCCGCGCGCATTGGGCTCCGGATGAATTTGGACAAAACAAAAGTAATGTTCAATGAACATGTCATTCCGGAGCCAATTGTTCTCAACGGGTCGCCTCTCGAAGTCGTTCAGGAATACATCTACCTAGGACAAACCCTGCAGTTTGGTAGGAACAGCTTCGAAAAGGAGGCCCGTAGAAGGATACAGCTTGGCTGGGCAGCATATAGAAAACTTAATCAAGTCTTCTCGTCTCAGATACCGCAAAGCCTGAAGACAAAAGTCTTCAACGAGTGCGTCCTTCCAGTAATGACATACGGAGCCGAGACGTGGACACTGACAGTGCGACTGGTCCACCAATTTAAGGTCGCGCAGCGAGCTATGGAGAGGGCTATGCTCGGAGTCTCTTTGAAGGATCGAATCCGAAACGAAGTGATCCGACAGAGAACCAAAGTTATCGACATAGCCCAAAGGATCAGTAAGCTGAAGTGGCAGTGGGCCGGTCACATTTGTCGAAGAACCGATAACCGTTGGGGTAAACGTGTTCTAGAGTGGAGACCGCGTCTGGGCAAACGCAGTGTAGGGCGCCCTCCAGCTAGGTGGAGTGACGACATCTACAAGGTGGCTGGCAGTGGTTGGATGAGAAGAGCTGAAGACCGAGCTCAGTGGCGTGCCATAGGAGAGGCCTATGTCCAGCAGTGGACGAATACAGGCTGATGATGATGTGTATGCTCCACCACCTTGTTAATTAATTTAATATGAATGTAAGTCTTACGATAGTTAATAGAATAAATAGACACTTACCAATAAGCAAGCACTCGATAATGTTCCAAAAGTCTTTCAAACATAGGTTTAGTAGAGCTCAAGAAGTCTGGTGCCAAATTCACGTTTACAGTCATGTTAACCCATTCGAAGTTGATGTCACCAACGTGGATAGCTCTCTTGACAGGTGTAGTCTTCAGAAAGCTGACATACTTCCCGACAAGGAGGTCGTCACTAAGGAAGTTGTAACCGTGCTTCTGGCTGGATATGAAGAGGAGAACTGATACTAGAATGTTCCATTTCTGTGAAGAATTAAAAAGATAGTTACGTGATGAACTTTTTCATTCATTTTTGTTTACGAGATATCGGAACTCAGAATCGGAAAAGAGTAATCAATGGAGTTGCTTGCTCATTCTTCTCCATTCGAATCTACATTTTGGAACGAGCACCTAGTTTCACTGAAGCTCGGGCCACACTAACGTCAACGTCAATGCCGATTATCGCGATGTTTACTACGATAATTATTGCGATATTTTTAACGCGATAAGTGTGTGTTGACGATTCAAAAGTACTAAATTATGGTACAATTGAAATAAATTAATTGACTTTGACTTCGGTCTTGCAGTTTAATAGCAACGGGTTAGTAGTTCCTAATAGGCATGGTATGAATGTCTCCCAGGATACCAGAATCAGTAATAACTTCTAAAAGGGTCACTTAATTATAAATTGGCCAGAAGTTTAGTTAGTTTTATACTATTTGAACTCACATTTTTAGCCTCAATGCTATTGTTCTTCCTGATTGACTCCTGGAACGCGTCGATCAGAGGCTTTATCATCTCAAGCTGCTCTTTCTCCAGTAGACCGAAGTAGTGGAAGGGCAAAGCGATATGGGATATCACCTCAGGATCCACGTATGCGTTGCCAATTATAAGACCCTAAAAAGACTTTACACTTTATACCTATCATCACTAAAATAATGTTCAAATAAACATTGGTCACTATCAAAAACAAGATTTTCTTTTTCAGTAGGTGCTTATCAAATTGTCTACGAAAGTGTTAAAACTAAATTAATTGTAAAAAAAAGACTGCATCTTCAAAAATATGAAAAAAATAGTTTACTAACGAAAACAAAAAAAATGTACTAAAAAACGGCTGCGCGACATAGCCGCGACCGCGTACGCTGCTCATGAGGAAGAACCCCTCTGTGGTTCGAAACTAATAGAGCTTTGCTTAGTATATTTACGTGAGTAACCAGCGATTTTTAGTTAACTAGCTTCTGCCCGCGACTTCGTACGCGCAATCCTGTTTTTCCAGGAAACTAAAACTAAACTAAACTTTTTTTTTTCGAACGGGATAAAACGTCATTATGACATTAACACACAAACATCTTATGTCCGTAACCTGGCTCTAAGCTACCTCTCTACCAATTTTTAGCTAAATCTGTTCTGCCGTTCTTAAGTTATAAGTGGTGTAACTAACACGACTTTCTTTTATATATATATAGATAAGATATATAGATTTAGTATCTCTCACAATAATTATTATAAAAAAAGTAATCAATTAAAAATCAAAGAGTTACCTGTAGATTGATTTCAGAACCTAGTTTTTCCTTTCGTTTGTGTATTTCCATCGCCATAGCAGGAACGTATTTCCCAGCATAAGATTCACCGGCTAAGTACAACGGTACCGTCTTCAGTTCAGGGAATATTTGCAAAAACTGCTTCAGAGCAATGAAGAGGTGGTTTGAGTACTGTGAAACCAAAATTCTTGTTAAAGATTACATAGATTACATTTTAATGTTCCAAAAGGGTACATAGAAGTGTGCAATATTTGAGTTGTAATTATTTATCAACATTTTTATTACGAATCCCATGTGTTCAAAGGGGAGCAGAGTAGTCATTTAAAAAGTGTCGGCCTCATCGTTCGCTTGATATTGATAAAATTTTACATGTAAAAGTGCTGCCTTGTAGCCTATTTGCAGAAATAAATTCACTTGTTTTACTTAATCTCATACAAAATACTTGGGTCTAGTCCCAAGCTCCATAGTCTTACTGAACGTTATTCGAAAATCCAGAGAAAAACTGGTTTTGAATCGAATCTGAGACTCGAACCTGAGAATAAAGGAGTTTAGTTTATTTTAATCGTTTCGTCCCCTTTTTACGACGCGCGGGTTGTAGGGCTAAGTGTAACTCTATATTTCGATTTCGATAGTATTGCAGACAATGAATCGTTCTGCCGTGGGAAAGCGGTTTTTAAAAATCACGCTGTACCTATAAGTAAGGTAATCTTACCGTAGCCATATTCGTAGTGAATCCCTTGTTATGTTCAGTAAAGCTGTAGCCAGTGCCGACGGGATTGTCAATGAACAGCAGGGAATGGTTATGCAGCCATGTGTGAGGGTTCCCTGGAATTTATTATGTCATTACACCATACATACCTACATACACATAATATCGCAACTGCTTAATAATTGGTCTAGTCATTGGTATACTGATTGGAACAACAGGACTTTAAGTCTCACTATCGCCACCTAGTCATCACAAAATCAATAGCACTATTGGTATCATGTGGTTTCTTTTTAGAGTTGACTACTATACGCAATGTCAAAGGACCGGCTCGACCGGGGAAGTACTAGCTTCTCACATATACCAACGTGAAATAGTGACGCAATGTTAATACGATTTGTCTGGTAAATTCTCAATGGCAAACCCGTTTCATTGTGCCCTTATTTATAGGAAGCCCCCTTTCTGACACTATTTGGTTGGTAACTTTTTTTTAAGGAGGGAAAATCATCGAATGACTGCTCCCGCCTGGGTGAGGCGAGAGGGAGTGTCAGAATCTTACTGACTAAAAACCACCCCGTTCCTTCTCCTGCACGTCGAGCCGGAGCCCCGGTTATCCGTTAGGTTCTCCGCGACTCCGAATCGGCATCGGCCCTGTTGGGCCCCATCTGTGGTGGTCTGATGGCTCTTTGAGGCTCTGGTCGGTAACTTAAGTAGTTGTTATTCCTCTATATTTTTGCAACTTGCAACTGTTGCAATTGTATTTAGGTCACAGTTAGCGTCAAACAGCCCGGAAGCTTTGTTGTCTATATTAGAAGTATAGGTACTTCTAATAAAGTTTCATCTATAAAATGTCACAACAAAGACCTTAAGTAAGTAATAAAAAATGAACGTTCTATTTACCAATGCAGAATACAAATTATGTGGTATTTAACCCAGTGCAGATAAATGCCGACGTCTTACTTATAAGAGAGGAATAATAAATTGCTTTGTTTTCCTGTTTTGTAATTACCTCAACGATATGTCGGTAGTTGTCTTAAAAAAACCTTTTTTTGAAATAAACATACCTAGGTTCTATAATTAGGCTGATTCCTGGCTATAAGGAAAACATAAATAAATAGCCATATAGATAAATACCTATATCTCGGTACCTTTGTCATAGGCTGCATATAGCGTTGTAGAATAAATACTATTCTACTATTTAACGACGATATTATAACAGGCGGAAACTCTGGTTTAACCCAGTGCCCCTTACAGGTGCTGAAGATGGCCACCAGGGTGGTTTTCTTGAGGTATAAATCCCATACTCCCTAGATTTTCTCCTCAGAAACCTGGGCGCCTTTTGAAATATTCCTACCATCATAAAAAAGGTCTATTACCGTAGTTCTACGCTATATGAGGCAGTTAGCCTGAAGTTTAAGCAAATGGATCATTGTAGAATTTCTTTGTGAGCTTTTATTTCTTAAGAACAATTTAATTATGAACTTAATACCACACTTATAAAATTCTAAATCAACTTGATTTGAATCCTACTACGAGTCTACGATAGGCCATACGCCACTCTTGACCTTTTCGAACTATGTTTGATAATTACTTTGAAGAAATTTATTAATCGGCCATAAATAGCCACATTATCAGTTATGTTGCAACAGGAAGCCAGCACACAATGGTTGTTATTACGAAATGCCTACTTACTTTCCCGTTATCGAATGTAAGAAAACTATGTCACGATATGGTCACGACATTTCGTTATTCAATAGAAATTGATAATATTGACGGAACTATCACAGACACGTGTTTCGACTTCGAGGGAACTAAGGAAGTTTGTCAATCTTTGAGATTAATTCATAGAAAGTGACCGATGATGAAAATATAAAAAGAACCGTAGACTAGCCTAGCTGCCAACATCCCTGAGTTGTGAGTTTGTGAGGCACTTACGTTTCAAAGTTGAGTTCACTACGGTAAACGGTCCAATTTCATCGAAAAGTCCAGTCAAGCTGGAGGCTCCTGGCCCTCCTTGGAGCCAGATGATCCATGGGCTCTCGTTCACTGGCTTATTTAACACCGGGAAGTACCAGAAGAAAATGTTCGAATTATATGTTTCGTTCACCGTTAGGAAGCCAGAGTAACTCTTGAATCCCAAGAAAAGTTTTGAATCCACTCTAGCAGCCCTTTTCGCCTCCCTCGCTTTACCTTCCTTCAGGTATGGAGTCAATATCAACGCTGTTCCATTATCAACTCTAGCTTCTGGTTCACAAGGTTTATTACTACTTGTAGTATTTGTATTAGTATGATTGGCATCTAGTAGGTTATCTTCGACTCGTGTGTCGCACGTTTTCTTCGTAACATTCGTGTTTTCATCAATCGGTTTCTCGTGAACCTTGTTATCGGTATTATTATTCACAATATTCACCTCAACCGTATTGTTTACAATACTTTGTTGAGTTTTAACTGGTTTCTCATCTACTATTAAATTATTTAGTTCATCTTTTTTAACTTCAGCTACTCTACCAAATACACTGAAAAATAATGGAATTATTACAATTATTAGGTAGGTACTTTGTTGTTTAAAAATAAAGGACTGATTATGTTATTCTTTTATAATTTTGTAATTCGAGAACTGATATCATACAGTAAAACAATTCGCAGTTGTTTTATTTAGTCTGAGAGACGGTTCATAAATATCCAAAGGTTGAGGTCAACATTATTGCGAAGGATACTTATTTGCTCTCATCATAAACAGTTAGGCAGAGGTGCACATAATAAATCAGACACGTACTCATAGATTAATTTATGTACTGACGTACACGTACTTTTCATCAGTTTATATTATGGGTCCCATGTACGTACCTAATAAGGGGTGATACATGTTTATGGGTGTACTAAGTATCTAGAATAATTTACGAAAAATCTAAACATCCCATATGAGAATTAAGTACAATCCACTTGCCCGCCAATCGTTAGGTACAAAGTTGTGAACTTAGTATCGAACTAAGAACTTGTTAGTAGATTACGCCGATAATTTATTTATAATATACCTAAGTACTACCTAATAAGTCTAAACAGAATAAAACGGCAATAAGGTATATGACCATCGCAGAAATGCCGTGCGACTTGTAGGTACCTAAATTGTCTGCACAGACTTAACGTACATTCTTACGACAGCACATAGCAAAGTTACGTGTACTTAGTCTCATTTCAAAAGTTAGTCTCATTTATTTAATTCATCTAATCTTAAATTTTCATAGCACAAATTCCGTGTCGATAATACTCATTATGTATAATAAAACAACTCGTTCAATAATCTACTGGAAAAGCATTCGAGCCTTATCGTAACATCCATTAGGTATACCATAAAATACGTGGTTTATTTATAATTACAAAAAAGAAAATTTACAAATATTTTTAAACTCATTTAGCATTAGCACTACTCCAACACGTGTAGACACAGGAATTTGCATCTTTATCGCGGAAAAATCCTGTCTTTACATACATTTTAGCACCAAAAAGAAAAGATAGTAAACAAAAACTTACCTTATTACGCACAAAACTAGAATGAAAGTCACATACTTCATTATAAGTAATTTGTTTAGCCCTAATTAATTAAAACGTGCGTCGGTTTGATGCATGGCTCGTGAACTAAGTCAGTTCGCACTCCCGGGGTAAGGCATATACATTATCATTTGAACTGTGTGATCCCATTCTTTGATACTGATACCAATGTAATTCGCTTTTATTTGTACGCTGATATTTTGAGCTTGAATACTCAATGAATTACGTTTCGATCGTATCGCAGGGGTCCAGTGATGTTATGCTACTACATGTTACAAGTTCAATTCCTGTTGAACAACCTATTCTTTACAGTTTATTTTTACTAAAGAACAGAATCGAAAGGATGGACGAGGCAGAGCGGTGCTAAGTCACTTATTTTGAATTTTTAATTAAAATAGATAGTAAGTTAATCTGTAATCAAATTATGATGGTAAATACGTGTATTAAATCTACGTCAGTCTAAGGCTTTTTTTAAGGGGGGAAAATCATCGAATGACTGCTCCCGCTTGGGTGAGGCGGGAGGGAGTGTCACACTCTTACTGACTATAAACCACCCCGTTCCTTCTCCTGCACGTCGAGTCGGAGCTCCGGTTACCCGTTAGGTTCTCCGCGACGTCAGTCTAAGGCTAAGGACTCACGAAGCGCTTTTCTCCCGCGCCTGCCCCGGTTACGGGCCCAAAGCCATTGTAGAATACAGAAATGTACCTATGTACCTATGTAATGGCGGCTGCGTACTTAGTCGCAGAAAACTCGTGAATTTTGAAAATAAATTTCTATTCCGCCATAGCGGCGGGCGCTGGTGAAAATCGCGTCGTGACTACGTAGCATAAAAATAGGTATAGGTAGGCATATCTAAAGTCAGTACGTTTACTTGGCTTATCTCACTGAACCCCATCTATCAATGCTCATTGATGAATTCGTGAATATGATGCGTGAACGTAACCTTGACTTCGTATTTTAAAATTTCCTACCAGTGTAAAAGTAGGCAATAAAAACACAACAAATAGAAATATTGTAGTTAATAACATAATAGAATAAGAATTCATACAATAACTTACTCATCTGCCTACTGAAAATATTGAAATTATTTATCTATACTTTTGTTTAAAAAAATAAGACAATACGTGTCACGTGTGAACAGTCACTAATCTCTAACACACACACATGCATAATGGTATTTGTATAGGTCCGGAACTAGTAGATACTCGTGAGTTTCGTGCGAAAATCCAACACATCGTGTGGTACACGAATCACGCATTGTGTGGAGTTACAAGATAAGGAAAACAGTTTTCAAATCCATAGGAAATAAAAGCAGAATATTTTTGAATTTTTTCCTTTTTAAATATCACAAGTAGGTTTAGTAAAACACATTATTATGACAAATTAAAAAACTTTACATCATAACATCACGCCTTTTATCCCCGAAGGGGTGGGCAGAGTAACACCCACTTTTCACTATTTGTGTTATGAGTTCCATGTGATAGGGGGTGAGCCTATTGCCATATACCGGGCACATTTCCAGACTCCGTGCTACTACTATTTTTTTAAACATAGATTTTTTTAATGCCCGACCGGGGAATCGAACACGAGATCCCTTGCCCGGCCAGTCGCACTTACGACCAATCAGCCAATAAGGCAGTCAGTCAAAATTAATAAAAAAACCTGAGTTATATATTATTAATCATTAAACTGTGCAAATAAAATTGTCCTAAGAATTTAGAAGTTTTTACGAGACACGACGTTTTTCTGCTCATTGATTCTGCATTTCAGTTATAGACGGGGTCACGGGGCTGAATTCTCTACATAATTGTTTACGTTCTTATGCAGCCATATACGTAATTTACTTGATAAGTATAAAAGAACACATTTAAACCTGACACTGATTGTAGACTCTTTTAGACAATAGTAGTAGACAGTGTATGAAAGTTAAAAATGTAATTAGTCCGTCATTTTTATTTTGTCATATAAAAAAACAATACTTAGTTAGATAAAACGGAGTTAAGTTTAGGAGTGGGAGGTCGTTACGTCACTCATAAAAAGTAGTAAATCGTGACGTCACACAATATTTCAAATTAATATATCTCTAATGTTTTAAAATCATCTACCAGACGGTCATTAAAAAAATTTAGGATACTGCCCTATTACCTAGATTAAGTCATTTAGATAAATAATAAAGAACCAGAGTAAAATCAATTTATTTATTGTTAAGTATACTAACAGTCAGCATACATACATATACAAATACAATATACTTACATACATATAGTTTACATCAAATAATTCAGCTCTAGTATTCAGTCTATGACTACAACATTATAATTACACTGAGCATAAAGAATAACGATGCACATTCAAATACAAACAGACATAAAATGCGACGTTTTTCACATACATCTATAATACTTTTTATATAGACACACAGTATTTTGATATACCTATCTGACATGTAATTGAGTGTTGTTGAAGTATTTCTAATGACTATAATATTAAAATGACTGTTAATTGATTTTTATTAGTAGGTAATCTTAATTGATAGAAATTTATTTATTTCTTTTACAGACATAATTTTGCTTTCCACAGTTACAAAAAAAAATTGTAATCAATAAAAATTTATTACATTTTTTTTTAATTTGTCAATGAACATATCAGATTTCACAAATCTTAACAACAGAAAAATACATAATCACCCTACCAAATAAAATGTAAACGAATATTTTGAATGGTCATATTGTTAACGCTACCTACCTACGTCTACTTAAGTATTCATCATACATAATTATAAAATAAATAACAAAAAATATCACATTGATTTATGTACGAAAACTCACATTTTCATTAAGTACAGTGTGCATAAAAATAGCACAACCATTTTAAAATGAACAAATATAAAAATGCTATCTCTTTCCTTTCCATTCTTCATGCGTCCTCACTCACTCTCTCACTAAGTCCACAGATTAAAATGGTCGTATCACTTTATTTAAGAGCATTGCGCAGCACACATAAAAGCGAAATATTGTAATTGATTCAAATAATTCTTTATTGAAAACTATTCCCAACATCAAGAGACATTTATTTTATTCTTTTTATATTTATATTTGTTGTACATTTGTAGGGGAGCTCCGTAATTGTGTCTGATAAAGACACAATGAAGAGATTATACATAATTAATTTATATTTTCATCTTAGATTGCCTGATGGAAACAGAGCAAACATCTCGAACCATTACCTGTTCTTTCCTTTGTTTTATTTAATCAGCTCTCTCTCTCTCTCTCCCTCTCTGTCTCTCTCTCTCTCTCTCTTAGTTAATATACTGGACCACCAAACCTAGATGGTTAAGCCTTTGTCTGCCAATAGAAATTTATTAAAAGCAAACCCTCCACTATTGTCGGTCATCTTTTTTTATGGTATAAGCCGGTAAACGAGCGGACGTATCAACTGATGGTAAGCAAACGGCGTCGCCCATGGACACCTAAAATACCAGGGGCGTTACAAGTGCGTTACCGGCCTTTTGGAGATTACGGAATTTGAGGAATTGTCGGGATTCAGGGATTGGGGAGATTGGGGGGTGGATTGTTGTAGTTGGGCCTCCAGTAACCGCACACACATGAAGAAACACAACACAAGCGTTGTTTCACGTCGTTTATCTGTGAGGCCGTAGTATCACTCCGGAAGCATGACTCTCCCACACTCCACCTACCTCAGTGTTAATCAGCTATGTCATGTAAATCAAGCAAGTTGCTGAAGGGCTCCCCTACCACAAAGAATCATTATTAAGTTTACATTGAACATTGAGAACAAGCTACATGTATTACCTACAACAATAATTAGTTCAAGTGACACTTATCTGCCGGTAATTGGTAACTAAACAGTCTTTAATGTCCGCCATGACAGACGTCAGTCGCGCAATCTCAGTATGTATCATCTCCAGTGTGGTTATGATCTTGTTTGTACCGAAGACCTTCTCCCGTTCAATGGACAGGAACGCTGAGGCCTTGTCGTCACATTCTAGAAATAAAGTTAAAAGTATTTCGTTAAAATCTTTTTTAAATGAGTTCCGGCTAACGATCATAGGATTTGGATTTTTCAACCTATCTTACGTGGCCACAGGTGGTACTTTAATAAGTGTAATTAAAGTTAATAATTCCAATTATTGGAATTATATTGATAGTAAATTCCTTTAATACATTTTCAACTTTATTACATAAGTATAGGGTTGAAAACATGTTAAAAAATTCACAAAGGCATTCGAAACTTTATAGCAATGAAGTAGAATATAGATCTACCTGACTCAACACACTGTTCATTTCTCGTTCCACCTTCCGGTTTGCAACTAGAGTTGCTACCTGATGCGTCATAATCCATGTCCGACGTGACGGGTGAGCGGTGCTTTCTTCGTCGCTTTGATCGAGTACCGGTAGCTGAAACGTAAAATATATTTGTTACTGGGACTATTATGGTCCTAAAATCTTTATCAAGAATCCCATTCCAAAATTTTTTTTTTTATTTTACTTTATTCCCAGCAATATCCTTACAGACTTATCCAAATCGATATTGAGGCCTCTTATATCTAAATTACAAACTAAATTTTTAACTAACTAACCATAACAAATGCTACGAAGTGCCACTTTAGTGAATTCACTCAGAGTGCAATAAAACATAAATCGTATGATACAAAATATTTAGTTTTCACGATTTTAAAGAGTACACAATAACATTACACATAATATTTTTCGATATTTTACTGATTCTACCTACATCTCTAGTAAGATTAAATGAGGACCCATCTTTTCAATAAGGTCAGTCATTATTACTTTTAATTGCTGAAATATACATCTTAGTGCTCACCTAAGCCTTTCATATCTCCACTGGTAGCTAGATCAATGGTTGGTTTCCTATCAGGTGGACTGCTTGGTCCAGCGCCATTGTCATTGGATGTCTTCTGCCTCTTGCGCCTGGCCGATGGTTCTGTTGGGTCTGTATAAAAATAACATAAAGCTAGTGCAACATATTACAACATATTTCTTCGAATATTTTTGCTTATACAAATTAACATAATAATAATGTAATTATAACCCTAACCACCGGTAGCTTGGACCATGCTCCCGCTACTGGTCGGCTCCTATTTTTTTAATATTTTTAAATATAATTTTTTTATTTTATAAGTAGTGTTTAAGAATGTAATTTATAGAGAATTTTAAATAAATATATGTAATTATAAAATATTTGTGCTCGTACTCTTTTTTTTGCTCTCTTGATGAGATATCAATGAGGGGAACCTATTACAACACATACAACAATAATCTACCAACCAATACCTAATAATGCATTACATAATACGAGATGCTACATTTTGTCGATGCAAAATTTTAAAAGAATTTACTAACCATAATACTGATCAATAGGACTGCCATCTGCATTCACTGCATAGTGTTCATCAAAACCCTGACAACGAAACCACATTTATTACTTACATTAAGTTCACATTACATTTGTTTGTATGTATTTGCCAATGCAAAATGTATCTCATTCTCGTTAATATAAAAATCAAAATTGTATATACTCTATTGGTTATTTGTCGCATACCTCTTCAGACAATGGATCATTCATAATGACCACACCATCAAAAATGTTGTCTCCTATAAGAGCCATTATATTCTCTTCCATCGGTGACAATGGTAGGATCCCTTCTGGCAGTGGCCGGTCTCCATCCTTGGCAGCTTTTAACTCCAATGCCCGACGCCTCACTCTGTACTTCCAGTCACACCAATACTGAAATTAATATAAACAGTTCAATGTTTAACTTGAAGCTTGGCTTTACAAATTTACTTTGTGCATTGCTACTTTCTGCCCATACTACCCTAGCTTTATTCTAATTTTTCTTATATTTTGATTTGATTTTGTTGGTTTTAACTGGTCAAGATCCATGCGGTTACGGGTGACCAACCACTTACACCTTATTTCCAATGTTTAGAGACTACTTTTGTATGAACAAATGTTGTGGAATCATTCATTTTTATAATCGGATATTAACTCGTTGAGTACCGTCATTATAGACACAATTATAGAACAATAGGTTGCGGTCACCGGTGACCGCTTGGTGTTTGACAGTTTAAGAAGTTAAATACTATAAGTAATTTTGTATTAAAACAAACCTTAATAAAACTTCCTAAGTTATATCAGTTAGGTAAAAAACCATAAACCTATTATTTTTAAAATATTATATGAAACAAGTTACATTTATTGTTTACAAAACTTTAACATGTTGGCCGAGTGGTTGCAAGTGTGACTGCCGGGCAAGGGGTCTCGGGTTCGATTCCTGGGTCGGGCAAAGTTTTACTGGGTTTTTAAAAAAAAAAATCTCAGTAGTAGCAGTACCCCTTCGGGGATAAAAAGGCGTGATGTTATGTTATGATGTTATGTTATAAAACTTTAACATTTATTGCTCACCTTGGACCAGCCCTTCCCATCCTTTAAGGCACCATTTTTGATGGCATTCAGTTTCTTAGCACACATGTTCCAGACCTTTACAGTGTGGAACTTTCCCCGCCGTCTGCGGCCTCGGGTCAGGCCCCTAGCCAAGTCTTCATGTTCCTTGAGAAAATCTAACAGAGCAGTCAGTTGATCATAGCTCACTTGTTTTCTTTTGGGTTCTATAAAAAAAGTTTTGAATTAATCAATCACATTATTTTCCAATCGATCGTCAATTTTTTTGATAAATTATGGTTTTTATTTGCATGAAAATGATCTCAAGATTTATTAGTCAGCTAAAACATACTTTTTGTTTTCATTTTTTCGAATTTTCCACTTTGATGACTGTTTTACTCTTTTATTTATGTAAAAGAAAACTCTTTTATTACCTTTGCATTTTTATTTTGCACTTATTCGAGCAAACGATTAAAAGAAAAATAAAAACACTTGCCTGCATCCATTTTGTGAGGCTCTTATTTGGCCTTTACTTAAGTTGCTTTCAGATGATTTTTCTTAAGAATTGTTAACATTAACGAACTGAAATTTACGAGCAAGATTTTCTGGCAATATTGTACGTATTTCCACTGTTTAAACTATCGGTTAAAAATCATCTCGTTCTCCTGATCGGACCGCAGGATAATCGACGTATTTTCAATACAGTCCACTGTTTTACCGACAAATTATAGACCCAAGGATGCGCGCGCAGTATTCAACTTCAGTTTCATCCTTCAGCGCTTCAATCATGAAATTATTAAGCTCTACTCTAAAGTTTTTACAACTAAACAAAAAATAAACAAAACAAAACACTGAATATTTTTTATGTGGTTGACATGACAGCTGTAACAGTTCATTCATTGCCACAATAAAAAATATATAATTTTAAAATATTTAAATTATTAATTTCATTTCCCTTCTTCCTTCTTTTCTTAATAGTTATTATTATGTAAACAAAATATTAACAAGGGTTAAGTTGTAACTACCTATATTCTTATCAACATAAGGTCTACAGGTAGAATTTGTCACGGTACTAAAGTCCATCTGCAAAAGCATCAAAATATTATTTATAATTTTACCTGACTGCAGACAAACTGTAGAATAAATATTTTTGGTGTCACGCATTGATAACATTGAACATAATAGATAATTTATTAACTCGAACACTTTACATGAAACTGAACGCTAAATCTGGAGAAAGCGCTATTTAGCTTAACTTTCGGGCGCTTTAGTGCTTTGTCATCAAAGCAAATATTTGCTTCCCGCCCAAATTCATAATAACCCGAACAAATTAAAAATACCTAGTGTTACTCTGATTTTATATTATTAAGTAACCCTTTTAAATTGGTCGTGTATAAATGTTTCAGCTCGTAAAATTGACAAGTGATACATACATATCGGCTGAGGTTTCCGGTTTCGTAAATTATCTAAAAGCTTAATTTGTAATGATATAGTGGTAATACATTGAATATTCAATTTGAATTCACTTAAAATGGTATTTGAGACTCTATATTTTCTGCGAAAGGTAAGTACTAGCTGTAATTTATAAGTTATCATTACCAAAATACGCGCACTTCATAGATATTTATGTACCTACGTAAGTAAAGTAGGTATATTGTTTGTTTTGACGTTTTACCATTTATTTAAATTTCACAGACAGGCTGTAATAAATAATTAAGACAAGATTCTAGCGATTTTATTACCAACGTTGGCATTTGTTATTGATTTTGTGATGTCAATAGTAACTATCGCGGTACTTAGGTACGTACTGTGTCTATATACTCTATCTGCCGGCCGGAAATAGAAGGTTTTTAGAAAATTCAATTAAGCAAAGTAATTTGCTGTGCGTTTCGATAGGGACAGGAAGTTAAATAGTAGGTAGGCACCACAGATTATTATATCTATGGTAGGCACATTATACCTACATATCTATACCTATTATACCAGGTCTCTACTATCTATATAGGTACCTAGCAGTTATCTATGTTTATTTATCCATCCATTGAAATGTTGCAAGGCGAATTTGTATAGGGCCATAAGTAAAAAGCCTCTTTTTCCTCTATTCAGATAGAATCTTAAATTAGAGCTGTTTATATATAATTAAGTCGATTAAAAAAAAATAAACGTGATTAATTAAAATGATTAACCGTATAACATAACACGTTAAACGCCATGGCAGTCACCGGTGACCGACGTTAGCGGAGGATTTGCCTTCAATAGTTTTTTTATTGGCAGCCAAAGCCTTAATATTTCTTTTTGAAAATCATAGGTAAGTACCTAGTAGTCCTGAAGAACAGCAGTAGGTATTGGCATTAAACAACCATGTCAAGAGTCAAGACCTAGATACTTAGTCGAATGTGTTAATTTAACACCTACCAACTTAATTTTATCCTGTAGCATAACGAAACGAACAAATTGCATATCCGTTTCCTTGGCCCAAACGTTGGTTCCAATACAGCCATGGTTAACCGCCGCTCGAAACTACAAGCGGGCTAAAGTTTATTTGTACAGTCGCTTAAACGCCGTCGTGGCGATCGCGTGTGTCGTTGACCGGAAAATTCCCAGAGTTTTTCTTATTTGCTTTTGCCGCCATAAATTTAAATAACGATAGAACGGTTTTTAAAATGTGATCGCTTTGTTTATGGATAAATATGGAAATTAAAGTTGATGTGGTGAGCTTTTTTATTCTATACTGAAATATTTAACATTTCTTCTTGAAAAATTAATAAAATAAAATTAGTCGGAGATATACTTAAGTGATGATTAGGTATTTATAGACTATCCAAAGCAAAAACGTTATTTATGTTTTATATTGAAATATTTAGTAATTCATCCAAAAATATTAGGTTATATACCAAACGAGTTGCACTTTGGATTCCCAAGATAAATAATAATACATTTTGATAGAACCAATAGGTCGATGTAAAAAATAAAAAAAAACAATAAACAATAGCAATGTTTTATAAAAAAAAAAATAGATGATCTTAATTTAAAAAAAAAGGATAATATTAATTAATACGTAAGTTTTAGGTACATACTTATAAAAGTTTCCTCAACTCTAAGGTGAAAATAAATCATCAATACATAGTATAAAACAAAGTCGCTTTCGCTGTATGTTCGTATGTATGCTTAGATCTTTAAAACTACGCAACGGATTTTGATGCGGTTTTTTTTAATAGATAGAGTGATTCTTAAGGAAGGTTTGTATGTATATACATATTGCACCCGTGCGAAGCCGGGGCGGGTTGCTAGTACAGTATAAAAGAATTTCATCGGTATAATCTCCCATGTGATTCATCTCAGTCTGTTTATTATGTACAGAAAAGAATTAGACAGCCATTTCAAAGTAATGGAACACTTGAGACCTATTAATTTTATGTAATGTTCTTTAAAAAAAGTAGACAAATTAAAAACCTTCAATTACTCAGGTCCAAAGATAGATAGCCGACTCCAGTGCACTTGCAATTTCAATTAACGTGGGTACATCCTTTGTTTTACTACTACCAACTGTTAGACAGTACAAGTAAACGACAAACATATCTACATACAAATCTAATTTTGTATTATAGATGACTCTATTAATTCACCGCACCCAGTCTTCAATTACTTTAAATAAGGCTGCTTGCTGTTTTTAGACAGTTTAGTACTCTCCAAAACGATGACCGCGCCCTCTTTTGTCAACTAATATTGCCGAACTATCATTAATTTTAATATTTAGGGCCGGCTTAAGTGAGCAGTTAGGTTGATTTCTAATTATTTTGAGCTCTTTGTCCGATTGATCGATATGGATCGTGGTTAGTTGGTTAGTTACTGGAGTTAAAACGTCATTTGTTGAATCTATTTGAGAGACAATATTGCAATTTAAATTATAGGGTTTCTCATGTCGGGTGTTGTAGCAATTTGTTATTCTATACTATATCAGTCTAGGCTTATACTTGTTGTTGACTTCCTTCTCCATTTAAATCACTTTTTTTAACGTCTGTTGGTGCACACTTTCCTACTTCACCTATAAACCAGGTACTTACATTAAAACTTTTTGGAAACTAAAATACATATCAGATACTTAAGACTAAAAACTGCTGAATTACTTAGGGAAGTACTAATAACAAAATGTTCCCGAAAATGTTAAATATAACAATAAATCTCCTCAAGCCTTAAAAAATACTAAACAAAATAAATCAAAACCTGTATTATGGAGATCAGGTCCCGATACGGGTGCCAATGAAGCGAGGCCATCAAACCGACGCCATTATCCTCCGAACACCTCAATGTGATTTGAATACAAAAAAGCCGTTAAGTGCTTTCTTACTGCGCTAGTAAACAATGAAATATTATGGCCATCGGACCACTCAGTAATGAATGGTGAACATAATATTGATAGCTTTATTGTATAGGAACTGTGGCCAGACGTCTTAACGGCCTGACTTCATCTGTTCACATCATATACTTGTCTTTGTTCCTAAACTTCCTAATCGTAATAACGTTGTTGAGGTCATGAAAATGATAATTTAATAATTAAGATTAGTTTTGAAACCAATTTTTCATTGGCGGAGTTTATATTATCTACCCTTTGCATATACGATATAGCTTAAAGGTCACACTGTAATAAGGCAATTAGGTTAATCAAAATCACAAATAATTGCTATCTAAAATAATATTTATACCATACCAACCTTATTTTCATCTTTAATCAAAATATGGACATAATCCGTTTTAATATCAAGATGATCGTCTCGTGCTATAATGGGTGACATTAAAATGACTCCATAATAGAACCATTATAGCATAACACTCATTACCAAGAATATGGTATTAGGAGTGGACGACGTTTATGGGTTATGACTTTTACGATAGTAGTAAAATAGACGTTAAACGCTGCCATATTCCGTTGTATATCAATCAGAAAATTAGGAGAAATTAATTGTTCTCCTACCGATCAAACATTTAGTGCTTGACCTGGATTTTGTCCAGTGGCGGGAATTTCTATGACGTCACAATGTAAGGCATTATTGTTGGTATTGCTGAAGTGAAGTATACTTGGCAGCCGGAAGGTAATATTTATACGCCAGTCCATTGTTGACTTACGGAACTCAGACATAGGTACTACGATATTGCAATTGCAATTTATGACGTGGGTCTTAGATGATGGTTCAATCGCATTACATCGATGTTTGGCGTTACTTTTCCTTACCTACTTATATCGACATTCAGTGCAATACTTTTCCATTTTTTTTTTGCGATCACCATCAGCGAGAAAACGTCTACTGCGGAGACCTCCATTTCCGCCCTACCTCAAACATTTACGACCATTTTAATAATATCGTCGTAATCCAGTGAAAAGCCTTTTTGACCATTATGTGAATGTGAATTATCTCTTGCTTTGATTCACAGCACACGGTGCACCCAGCTACGCCTGTAAGAAGGCCTCCTCAGGCTAAGGACACTTGGTGCACACCTGTATCCACGCCGGTACATACCACGTGAGTTGATGAGTGTAAAATATCCTATGATTCCTTGTTTTTTGGAATAAAGACAACTAAAATTGTTCTTTCCCTATGTGATTTATTGGCTGCCTGACGTCTGGTTTTCTTTACTGCCTTTATGTACGAAAGTCGATACCTACTGTAATAATAACTATCTGTTACTTCCTTACAGAATAACTAAAACGAGATCTAATATCGAAACCAAATCTGAGCTACAGGATGTACAGAATAAAGAAAGGTAAGAAAAGTCTAAGTACAATGTATTTGGTTGCTTATCAGGGTATAATATACATATTACACTTATATGCTTTTAAATTAAATGATAAGGCAGGTACGATGGGGTTGACGTATCCATATTCTGCATAAAAACCCAGGAAAAATTAGTTACCTAACAACTAAAATACATCAATAATCTACTTAAGACATTATGAAGTCATAACAATTTTCATAATAAATCGATAGCTTCTAATAATTTCAATTGGAGGTAATTGGTCATTGGAGGAATTAGATATTGATGATTGCGTAATTTAAGTAAAAACGCGGGTTACTCACGTGAATATACTGAGAAAAGCTCTACTAGTTTCGAACCACAGAGGGGTTCTTCCTCATGAGCAGCGTGCGCGGTCGCGGCGACACTAGTAGAGCTTTTCTCAGTATATTCACGTGAGTAACCCGCGTTTTTACTTAATTTAGTACCTATGTCTCACGATAGTTATTATAAAAACATTGCGTAATTTGTCGTTAAATAAAATCAAACTTGCTTTTAGTAAATCAAATATTGATGAAATACATGTAAGTAAAATATTATGTACTCCAACCAGTTATGTTTAGACCAATTTTATTCTATTGTTGCAAACGCTAGGTAGGTACTATTCGAAAATACCAAATTCAGCGAACTGATACCTAAATGTTATTTTGATAATTTTCCAGGGATTTAAGTCAATTACAAAAAATTCAGCTCTTCTCGCCGAGTCCGCCACCTGCATACAAATCCGAGAATGATATAACACAAGCTGACACTGAATTAAAAGAGTTCAAGCCGCCATCATCCAATGAGAATTCACCAGACATGTAAGTGTATTTACATAGATTTTTTTTATTTATAAATCTGTGAAGTTCTTCTAATCACAGGTAAATGAATGAAACATACTCTAAAGTATGTTCCGTATAAAAATAATTTCTTTTTTATTCTAGTCCGCCAGTTTCGGAAGACAAACTCGATGCAATAATCGAAACACCACAAAGTCCAGTGCCGACGTCTCCGTCTTATCACCAAAAATGTCAAAGATTTGCACAATGGTCAGCGATCCGCGATCTTTTTGTGCCGATAGACCCTCAAGGTAATTGATACGAGCAACTCTAGTAAATTCTTTTTAAATTGCCATAATAGCTGGTCCCAGTTGGGCGCCAATTAAGCGCCGCGACGATTGTTTAAGAACTATTAGATAAAATTATTCTCTCTAGTAGTCGACTAAGAAAATTGCTTAGGGGCGTGTCAAGTAATTGCGGCTGGTAGACAATTACAGCTACTATTTGTTTAAGCTGTGGAAACAATGTTGACTGAGTACATTTAATTCCACCTTAGTCTAAATTGAAGAGAAAAAAATACTAAATTGGGAGCAAGCTTAGTCTTAAATCCAATCCCACCAAGTGGTGAGATTGGTTCTGATGCATTTTAGATGCGTTTTTTAATATTAATGTGCCAATACTTGTGCTAGTACGTAAGTATACTGCAATGCTATTATTTTGTAGTAAATGTTGTTTCGCCATAAGCTTTAAATTCTAAACTTCAAAGGTTAAAGCAAATATTAAATGCTGATATCTCTCTGCAGGTCCCCACTACATCAGTTGGCTTTTCATAATGACGATCAGCTACAGTTATAACGCTTGGTGTATAGTTCTCCGCGCTACATTCCCCTACCAGACTCCTAGCAACACCAGTATATGGATGGCTTGTGACTACGTGAGCGACGTCATGTACCTTCTGGATACAGTGTTTGTGAAGCCAAGACTGATGTTTTTACATGAAGGATTCTGGGTCGATGACCTCACTGAGACACGGAAGAACTATAGGAAGAAGTCCCAATATAAGGTACTAAGGACATATAGCAAGAGGAAAATAATTTGCGTTAGCAGTAACTTACTAAAAACGACTTCAGAATTGTATTAATTTATTAACTCTTTTTTCAGTTTGACGTGATATCTCTCCTCCCATTGGATTTATTATACCTATACTTTGGAACCAATAAAGTGATCTTACGCTTTCCAAGATTGTTGAAATTGCAAACATTTTGGGAATTCCATCAGGCTATAGATAGAGTGCTTGCCTCTCCTTATGTTGTGAGTATACAGAGTTCAATAATGATAGGAATCCTTTGCTAACCTGTACCTATATACTTAACATGTTGAAAACGTATTAATTTTATCTCTATCAACAGGTACGAATCGGTAAAATGCTCTTCTACATCTTCTACCTGATTCATTTAAATGCGTGTGCATACTATGCGATGAGTGACTACATAGGACTGGGTAGTAATGGCTGGGTATATGACAACCAAGGGTCAGCCTACATTCGCTGTTTCTACTTCGCAACAAAAACTGCGACATCTATCGGCAAGAATCCGAAGCCTGAAAACACCATTGAGTACTTGTTCATGACTGCAGCCTGGTTAATGGGAGTCTTCGTGTTTGCTATTCTTATTGGACAGATCAGGGACATTATTGCTACTGCTACTAGAACAAGGGTGAGTGAAATACCAAAAGATATTAAAATATAAAGAAATTTGTAACATTTGCACGCTATTTGGATAAAATCTTAAGTACTAATACTGTTGTGTTCTTCAGACGGAGTACCGTAAGACACTGGACGGTAGCAGGAGTTATCTTCGTCGATTAAACATGCCAGTAACACTGCAGAGACGAGTAGCATCGTGGTACGACTACACTTGGAGTAAACAACGATGTTTTGGTGAGCCCACACAATTTATATTTCATCATCTTTACCACCATCACCATCTTCCTGCCCTTATCCCAATTTATTTATTTAAGTCAAACCAATGTCTTCTTCCATTCGCCCTATCAAACGTTGTCTTATCATAAACCCCTACATCCAAATCTCTTACGCTAAAATACTCAAACGTCACTCAATTTTAAGTCGCGCTTAAATATAGTTCTGTCACTATACATTCACTATAAATTCTTTGTGAAATGACAGATATGGCGCGATATTTTAGTCCAACTTAAAATTGAATAGGCTTTCAGTATTCGGGCATTAGTCCCTTGCTGGGCGCCAAATTAAATAAAATTAATCTAATTTTTTTTTTGTTTTTTAGACGAACCCAGAATTTTGAATTCTTTGCCATCTAATATGAAACGCGATGTAGCACTCGAAGTTCATATGACAACGCTAAGCAAGGTAATGTAGAAAGTTCCTTCTATTCTCTTTATCGTTAGATAAAGGATAAAGATCAAAAATCTTTATCCTTTATCTTTTGATCTCAATAAGTTTGATGTAGTCTACCATCACATCAGACCCTTTGAGTTCAATCTTCTGTCTTCTATTCATTATGTTCTTATAGCTATCTTCGCCATTTTAAAACATTGTTACATAATTGTTTACAGGTACAACTATTCCGCGACTGTTCAGATTCTCTGCTCCGTGACTTGGTCTTACAACTACGTCCTGTCTGCTTTCTCCCTGGAGACGTAGTGGTACGACGTGGTGAGGTTGGCCATCAGATGTACATCATTTCTTCTGGAGAGTGCTGCGTATGTCATAATTAATATTACCTCTATATGTTGCAGGGTTTACCCTTTTATCCTAGAACTAAAAAATGTCGCCGAGTTTCAACCCTTTTTCTCTAGACATAAAGTATCAATCGCTACATTAATTTTTCTAGGTTAATAAAAGTAACTTCGATTTTAGGTAATGTCACAAGATGAGAAAGAAGTGTTAGCTACTCTGCAAGAGGGTTCCGTATTTGGAGAGATCAGTTTACTGGGTATTGATGGGTTACGACGACGTACTGCAACAGTTAGGTAAAAGGAATGAAAATTAGCGCCCAACATGGGACCTGTCTGTAATTGCTTATTACTATTAACTATATAACTATCATAATTGTCTTAGAGAAATTATATCACAAAACTATATTTTAAAAAAGTCCACGAAGTGCTTAGTGATTCTTCATTAATAACATAGAGTCCCATGTTGGGCGCCACATCAATTACAACACATTTGGGAATTAACTGTACAAAATAAAAATCTTAACACACATTGTACGTCATTACATTCCTCAGAGCGCGCGGCTACGCAAGTTTATTTGCTTTGTCTAAAAGCGATCTCGACGCTGCACTAAAGCATCACAAGCAAGCCGCTCAAGTACTCCGCATTAGAGCTGATCAGATTATTCGAGAAAATGCAGCCAGACAGGCTAAACAGCGTATGATAAGACTTGAAGCGAAGAAAAGTGTTAGTATACATGAAGATGAGAGTATCGTGAGAAGACGCCTGTCCAATACTTCCAGTGCTTCTAATTTGACTCTAGAGGGCGCTAGAAGGCAAAGGTCAGCTAGTGCATTGTCTAAGAGAAGACTGTCGGCTGTTTCTGAGAGTGGAGTTGTTGATCAGGTTTAGTAACAGATTATTTTACAGTATTAATTCTACAAAAACAATGGAAAACCGAGAGATATGAAATTGAAACAACTGATTTAAACTGTCAAACACCAAGCGGTCACCGGTGACCGCAACCTATTGTTCTATAATTGTGTCTATAATGACGGTAGGTACTCGACGAGTTAATAGTAAAACTTTCAAATAATTGTAAATTCAGAGAGTAGTAAACATGTGATGTAAAAATGATTTTTTATACAAATTCATAATGATTTTCACGTATTTTTATTTCATTTCTCTTTTTATTCGAACATAATAATACAGTAACTTCTGATTGTACTCTGCCTTTTGTTTTAAGATCCTCTTCTATACAGACCTTTTTGAAATGATCTTCTTATAATTACAGGGCCAGGCAGCCACTTTAGCTGTAACTTGTGACAGAGCACGAACTCCACTACCAACAATAGTCCTATCGGGAGATTGAAGAAAAATCTAAAACTTTAAACTAAAATGATGAACTAAAGAAAAGACTAAGTAGTGTGCACTTAAAAAAACTGTGAGGATGAAAACATAGAAAGTTATTTGTAAGAAGAATTGAGTAATGAGTAGGTAATAGAGACGTTTTGATATTGAGGTATACGACATTAATGTAAGGTGTTATTAAAAGAAAATGTTTTACAAGGTCTTAAGCAAAAATAACATAGAATAGAATTGCTTCACCGCAGATTTGTATTGTATCTATTCGCACATAAACCTATATTGCAACTAGCTGACCCGGCGAATTTCGTACCGCGTAATACTCTAACCTACTCTATCCCACTCTACCCTACTCAACCCTACTCTACCCTATTCTACTGTACCCTAATGAAAAATAGACTATCCTATCTCTCAAGTTAGATCGAACTGCACATAGTGTGCGAATTTTATTATAATCGGTTAAGTGGTTTAGGAGTCCATTGAGGACAAACATTGTGACACGAGATTTATATATATTAAGATTAGTCTACATAATCCCAATTCAAACTGAAACATAATAATATGTAGATATTAAATGTACTTGAGAAAGTATTGTATTGATGTTCTAGTCGATATACCTAAAGTAGATAAAATTCAAAATATTAATTAATGTAATATAATTAATGCATTTTTATTTTTATAAATATTATTACATAATTTACATTTACTATTCTAATTCTATTAGTTAATGATCTAGTCTCCATACCCTAAAAGATGTACCAAAAACATCGATGTTTCCATGTCTATTACGCTCAATATCTTTGTTGTTTGTTTGTAACTTAAAAAAAAAACGTTATTTTTGTAAATAATTTATTTTCGACGTGCATACTTACCTATATATTTCTAGACTGTCTATCTATTGATGTGTCAAACAAAATAAAGGAAATATAAATTAAAATGTAGTTTTAATTCCCACATTCCCATCACCTACTTATTAGGGACCCTAAAACTATTTGAGATAAAACCAGTAGAAAGAAATCGAATCGAACCTAACATGGAGTAACTCATCATCTCGTGATTGAAATTCGCACCTGTAAGATCAAATTGTACAGTACAACTTGAGTATCTAATTAATTAATGTAAAGTCTAGTCAAGTAGACATAAGAAAGATACGCGTTACCTATCCAAATTAATTCATTTTACAATTTACAAATTTACAATTTACAATTTTACAATTTACAAATTTACAATTTTACAATTTAACGATTTACAATTTTACACTTTATTTTTATTTATTTTATTTCAACTTCATACAACAAGTGTGTACAGGTGGACTTAATGCCATGGGCATTGTCTCCCAGTCAACCTTTAAGCAGTGCAGAGATGAAAGTAGCAGGTGATTTAAACCTTTATAAATAGGCAATGTACCAGTGTAATAAATAACAAATCTTACAATCAGAATATTCAATAAACACTAAGCATATAGGTATATTTGAAAACTTATACATACTTACATATAACAATAATTATGTATACAATATTAAAGTAAATATATAAATAAAAAATAATGAATATATATATAGAAATATATATGTACATTATAAAATATAATACAAAATATTAAATTAAAAGAGGTTTAGGTTTGAGATGAATCTACCAATTGTTGAAGAAGATGCTCCCGAACTTTAATCTTAAAAGCTAAGCGACTGGACGCCGTCCTGATATCCGTGGGTAGTGCATTCCACAGAATAACAGATTGTATGAAGAAAGAAGAATGAAGAAAATCAGTGCGATGACTGACACACTGTAGATGGCGATTGTTGGAAGAACGAAGATATTTACTGTGGTTTGCACTGGTGTATTGAAAATAGGTGGATAGATAGTTAGGAGAAAAAGGGGATTCAAGAAGAGAGAATAAAGTAGTTAAAGCCCTTTGCTCCCTACGTTGGCGTATGGGTAACCACTTTAATTGCAAGCGCTGTGCAGAAACATGATCATATTTACGAAGATTGAACACGAATCGAATGCAGTTATTCAGAAGTCTGTCTAGTTTGTTGAGGAGATCTGCATTCAGGTCGTAATAACAGACATCACCATAATCAATAATAGGGAAAATTAACGACTGGACAAGCGTTGCCTTCACGAAGGATGGAAGAAAGTTTTTGAGGCGATACAGAGCCCGCAACGACCCAGTAACCCTCTTACAGACACTGGTAACCTGCGGGCGCCAGCTCAAGGTATTATCAATGTGAAGGCCAAGATTCTTGACGTCGCTGGTGCATGGGATGACCGCACCGTCAAACAGAACAGGGGGAAGGGTGCTAGCATCTATTCTACTGAGGATGCGCGAGCTCGCAATTACTATGGCCTGGCACTTGCTCGGGTTTACAGCTACCCCAAACCTATCACCCCAGTCTTTAATAGAAGCCAGGTCAATGTTTAGCCTTTTGATAGCTTCCGGTAAGTTCTCCCTACTAGCCTGACAGTACAACTGCAAGTCATCAGCGTACAGATGATACGCACATTGAAGTTCAGTAGTAATGAGATTGATGAAGATAGAAAATAAGAGAGGTGATAGTATACCGCCTTGAGGGACGCCAGTTTCCAAATGGCACCATTCTGATGACGAATCACCAACTTGGACCATCTGTCGCCGCCCCCGAAGATAAGATGAGAACCAATGTAGAGTATCATCGGAAACCATAAGATGGGATAGGATGGCTAGAAGGATGTCGTGACTGACCATGTTAAAGGCATTTGAGAAGTCGACCAATACCAGTACGGTGACTTTACTGTCTTCCAGACCTGCCCTCACATCGCCAGTCACTTTAAGGAGGGCCGTTGTGGTACTGTGCCCTGGCCTGAAGCCAGATTGGAAGGGACTAAGTAAGGAGTTGCGGAATACAAAATGTGAGAGTTGCCTGTGTACACAAGCCTCAAGCACTTTAGATAAGAAAGGGAGGATTGAAATAGGACGGAAGTGAGTGGGAAGAGTAGGATTCGAGATTTTAGGCAGTGGCCGGACAAATGCTCTGCGCCACAAGGAAGGAAAAGAACTAGAGTAGAGTGAAAAGTTGATGATGTGAGTTAAGGCTGGGATGAGGTGATCCAAAACTGTTATGATCATGTATCGGGAAATATTATCACAACCAACAGCCTTGGACTTGATGGACAGGATACTTTGAGCTGTGAAATTTTTTTCCTTCATTCAATTACCATTTCATGGCTTGCCGTTTTGAGAAATGATACATGAAAATAGTGATTCGTCATTTTATCATTAAATCAAGAAATAGCCATAGGTGGGTTTCCATTATACTTACTATACCAACTTCAAATCTGGATAACATGGTAGTCAAGTAAGTGTTCTGGGAATGGGATCGACTTACGGATCTGACAAACTCTATTTGTAATTTTCGTTCTGTAAAATTACCCTCAGGTAGATAGAGTAAATTAAACTGTCAAACACCAAGCGGTCACCGGTGACCGCAACCTATTGTTCTATAATTGTGTCTACAAAACCGGTACTCGACGAGTTAAATAGAGTTAGAATTTGTTCCCTATCCTATCTCCCTAATCCCCAAATCCCTAACAATCCTTATATTCCTAACCCACGAAAGACTGACAACGTACTTGTAACGCCTCTAGTGTCCATGGGCGGCATCGATTGCTTACCATGAGGTGAACCGTCAGCTCGTTTACTAGCTTTTCTTGATAAAAAGAAAGGATTAATTCCTAATGGATTTTAACAAAATGTTAGTGTGACACATATCCGAATTTTGTCTATTTGAAATAAAAATGGGGTGATACCTCCCCCCCCTCCCGCCAATTTTCATATTTCTCCGAACCAATCATTAAGTTAAAACGCCAATCAACGCGACAACGATTAACTCTATTATGTTTAGCTTGCGTGCATCAAACGCGGTGACAAGAAATACTTTTGCCAACTTACAATATCACCTATGCCAAGGAATTTTCAACCCTAATAATGAGCAAGTAGGTTATTTTGAAGGCAAGAGAAATATTTGTGAAAAGTTAATAGAAAGTTACGATAGTCGGTGCAGTTTTTCAGTATTGTTCGTTTTTTTTTCTTTGTGTTGCGAGAATTTAATCAGCGTCAGCTATGATAGTAGGTTGAGGTGGATCGATAGTAATCCACCTATTTAGGTACGTAGACAGTATCGTGGCCATCAGTTATTCAATCGATACTTTACTTAAACTTTTAACGAGAATTCAAAACGATTTTTCAGGATAACTTTGAATAAGTATGTCAAAGAATAAACCAACGTCTATCAATTTTACATTTAAAATTAGTTTCGATACGTGATCTAAGCCACAGAGACAAGGTACGTACACATCCAGGTATGGGATTCTGTTTTTGTCAAGTATACGACCATTGTATAGTATTGAGTGTCACTTTTCCTCATTCCAAATTGTATCATCGTCAATCTCAGTATGAGTATGCATACAGTGATTAAAGATTTATTAGCTACCTATGCATACACCTACCTAAATTTTATGTACCTAAATAGTTAAATATTCAGTACGCTAACATCAAAATAAGATAAAGTACATCAAAATAAGTACATCGACTAAGTTATTCGACATAAATCACCCCGTCTCAATATTTTCCTATTACTGCATAATTTTATTCATCCGAATCGAAAGTTTTACAAAAGAAAATTTCGTAGCTAACTGATTACAGGCTTCATTATTGACGTTGCGTGCTCTCACTCATTTCTTTATTGAAATAAACACAGCGAGGTACCTCGTAATATAGGAAAAAATAAACAGAGACCTCATTTTGGGAAAACTTCACAAATTACGTTTTCATTGTTCAACTGAAACGGGGAGTTTAAAAGGTTAGGTAAAAGTTACCTATACCTAGGGTATTTAATTTAGATCAGTTTTAGATTGTGCTACGAGCTATCGGTATATACTTCTTTTACTTAATAGACTTCCTTTTACATACCTTTAGATGACACATGATATTTAAAGTTACATATATGTACTTAATTTTAGTTTAGGTACCTTTTTATCGTCAGATTAGAATAGGGTACAAGTACCTAAATCTCAATTATTAAGAGAATAAGGTCATAGAAGCGTAATATGTAGGTCTACGTCTATGTAGGTCTTATGATAGAAACAGCCAGCATAAAGTTTGAGTTCAACTAACCCATAATCAACCTCATGATTTTGCAATTTAAAAATGCATAAAGAACAAAAACCGATAGGTTCCCAAATTATATACAAGAAAAATATCGCTCTAAAATCTCGTACATAAGCTCCAAAGTTACAACAAATGATTTCACTAACGAACACGAATCAGATTCTTAAAGACTTAAAAATCGTATCGTCGTCGTGTAGTCTGCAACATCGTGCAGTGTAAACAACCCTTTCATTAGGGGTTAGCCGAACCCGATCAACTGGTGACTCAGTCTGCAACCGACTGTCACTGACTGTGGTACAAGCAACCAGTCATTTGTTAAGAAAAGTTTTTCAGTAATTAATTAAGTTAAAAGTAATTAATTTATTTGTTTGTAAAATTATATTTTTTCGGATAGGTGGTTTAAGATAGTGTGTTTGGGTGAGGAGAGTACCTACTACAGGTAAGTTCATTAGTGGTAGTTAGCCTAGTAGCCAGATGTTTTAGTACTAGCGCTTTTTTTTAATAAGATTTTTTTATATATACTTAATAGGTCGACGTTTAACCACCATATCGCCTGGTGGTAAGCGATGATGAGGCCGATGAGCACGCCTACCTATGAGCAACCTGTTCACTCGGGAGTTAAAGACCCAAGTCATATTTGACGGGAAACATAGACTCCGGCAAGGAATACCATTCCTTTGCGGTTCGCATTTTTAATTAGTGCATGATGTCCAATTTAAAAGTCTATGCTAGAAAAAGTGAGAAGTTCGCAAGGGTACCCTTA